CTAGAAACTAGAGGGCGCCACACCAGTCACGTGACCTCGATGACGCAACAGTATGCTTGCATACAAGAATTTGTCCATCTGAGCCTTTTTCACCTATAATATTTTCCTTTCTTAAAACAAATTTGTTATTTAATAAACTATTTCACAAACTGATTCTCTTACCTTTACAAGTGCTTTAATTCTTTACATTCAGTTAACAATTAATTGTTTTCGGCTAACAATTAATATTATATTTTGAACATGAAAAACGTTTTGAATTAGGCATTAGCTTTTAGTGCACAATTATATCCACTAACCCAAAGTCCATATTATATTTTAGCCTCTTTACATGTAGTAATTTAATGGTTTCATTCGCATATTTTTCTAATATTTTCTTTAAAATTTCAACTTATTTTTTTAAATATTGCACAAAGCTATACAATGGCTAGTCATCCCTAATTTTGAAATGATATAATAGAGGAAAAACAACTAATCAACTACCTACTCTTGGGCTATTCTTGTTTGACTATTTATTTGTTTGTTTTGAATTTCGCGCAAAGCTACACGAGGGCTATCAGTTCCTAATTTAGCAGTGTAAGACTTGAGGGAAGGCAGCTAGTCATCGTTCGTTATTTCGACACACCTTCAATTACAGGTTCAACAACCTGAATAAATAGATAAAATATAGAATTAAATTTACGTAATCTAAGCACTAAAGTATTCCAGCTATATATAAGTTACCTACAATAAGAAAATTTCAAACATGCCATATTTTATATCTCACTGCAGTTTTCTATCAAATGTATCACAGCTAAATATTTCAAGCCACAATTCTTTATCAGCCAAAAATTTGTGACATTTATGTATATAATTAAATGAATAAAAATTGTTTTAAATAGGTAATGTAAAACACGTTTAAGTTGTTGCACTTGCGAATCCATTGTGACATATTAATTAACCAACGTATACTTGCAGTAGGTGATGTTACTGTGAGCAACTACCTGTTTCCCACAGAAACCAATGCCACCATCAATCAGGCTTTCTGCGTCTACAAAAGAACCGTAAAAGCCACTAAGCACAAACTTAAAAGTTACTCGTGAAAATACAAGTAATCGCGGAATAAAATTGCAGAAATAACCTATTTTGCTATAAACATCCATCCAGATCAGAGTTTGTGTCATCAACTGCAAGATATTCCCACATATGCACAGTCCAAAGTAGTCAGTGTATAAGAACTGGCAGAAAAATAAATCATGCCTTCATTACATAGCAAGCAACCCGAATTACCATGTTTATCTAAATGGTACTGCCACCGAAGAGCCGTGAAATCCCATTGCATAAGATAAACCTGAAAAATAAATCAGGCAAAAAAATTAACAAATTTACATACATTTTGTTTGATTTGTACAATTCATGACAACTTAAGTTGTCGTGCTATAGCATGGCTTTCTGCTTGCATTTCAGGAAGACTGGTATTTACCAACCAGATCTGGCAGGATGGCAAAACACAAAGTCATACCCACTCAAGCGCAAGATTAAGAGTTTACTCAAGAAATTTACTTCCAACATTTGCACTAAACTTATCCCGAGTGCTCAGAAAACAAGGATTGTAAGGTTCTTACAGCTTATTTGTCAAAATGTTTGGCTATCATTAACAATCGAATCCAACTGTAAATTTCCATAGGATTTTCACTTACAATTTCAGTGTACTGTACCAATTGCCCTATCACTGGTAACAGTATCAAGAATGAGTGGGCAGTCTTGATGAGAATAAGCCAACACTGCTGCATTGGCCAAAATGCAATTCAAGAATTTTAAATGCAGCTTCACATTCGAAAATTCTATACAAAGCGTGCATCAACCTTAATGCAAACAGTGGTGTGGCTATTTTGGAAACATTTGCCACAAATTATCGATAATACGATACAAAACTTAGAATAATACAAATTGCTAACTTGTTGTAAGGCAGAGACTAGTCTTTCATTAGTGCTCTCTTTTTACACCATCTTTACTGACTATTGACTGATAAACTGGACTTCCACATGTATAAACACGCACTTTCCATGATACACTGAAATA